GAGAGAGAGAGAGACGGAAGGGTAGGAAGACGAAAACGCGGGGTAGAGAAGAGAAGAGGAGAGGAGAGGAGCAATGTGGAGGGTGGCGGGTGCAGCTACGAGTCGGCCGCCGCAGTATTTGTCAGTCCTTCGTATGGACCTCACGTTCGACGAGACTGATAGTACCCGCCGGTATTGGCATCCGCATATAAGCCGTATAACGTTTTTGGCGGCATTCATCATCGTCGATAACTACCAACGTCGATCGCGCGCCAATTACACCCCGTAGATGAACTCGCGGCTGCGGCACGCGCCCCCGCGATCATCGTCTCGCGCGCCTCGTCACTCTGTCCACGAGCGGACGAGCGGCGTCGCGAGATCCCTACGGACGGCGGACGAGATGTGAAGACGTCGTCTTGGAAGCGATGTGGCTTCCGTTGGTGCTGCTCGCCTTGATGGCGAGCGGTTCCGCCTGTCCGGATCTCTGCGAGTGTCATCAGGATGATGCCGAGAAAAACGGCGGGTCGTTTTCTCCGCTGGACGTGACGTGTCGCGGCCGCGTACCCAGTCTATCGGAGTTACCCGCGGTAGTGAGAAGTTTGTCGGTGAACAACGCCGAGGGACCGGACGTCGATGCACTCCTGGATGAGCTGGAAACCGCTGACTTGGCGAACGATCTCGGGATAAACAGCGTTATGGATAATCTCAAGACGAACGACACGTCATTGTCAGAGAAGCCGGCGAGCGCAACAGAGATTTTACCGTATCTGGTCGAGTTCGCGGTGACAAATTGTTCGTTGGTGTCGTTGAACGCATCGTGGCACGGTCTCGAGCGCTTGAGATCGTTAAATCTGTCGTGCAACAACTTGCCGCGAATAAAGAGCGTGCTGGTGATCCGCGCGATGAATCTGAGCGAGCTAGCGTGCCTAGATTTGTCGGATAACTCATTATCCGACATCGGTGTCGATTCCTTCAGGACGCTCGTCGGACTCGTCCGACTAAGTTTACGTAAGAATGCGATCGGCACGGTGGACGAGGGCGCGTTTCGCGGGCTCGATCGACTGGAATTTCTCGATCTATCGGACAACAGGTTGGCGGACTTGCCGGATAGCGCGCTCACGCCGCTATACTCCTTGCAGAAACTCGATCTCAGTGGAAACCAGCTGCAAGTCTTGGGCGCCAGGTGGTTCGAGAGTCTCGACAGACTGAGGGAACTCGACGTTTCGCGAAATGGATTAGCCAGAGCGGCCTCCGGAACGCTGCAACCATTACCGGGGCTATCTGTTCTAAGACTCGCGGAAAATCCACTAAAAGAGAGAGACGTGTCTCTATTATTGGGTACCGGAAGAAGATTGGAAACGGTAGACGCGTCCCGCACTGGATTAGCACGCGTCCCAGCGGCTTTGACGAGATCGGTCAGGGCGCTCAGACTCGCTGGTAATAGACTGACCACCATTCGTGGCGGTGACTTGGACAGTTATCCATTGCTACGTATGTTGGATATCGCTGATAATCGTCTGATCGATATCGAGAACGATGCCCTGGGACGACTGGAGGTTCTGGAAGAGCTTGATCTATCCGGAAATGTACTTTCGAAGGTACCGGGTAGTTTGCCGAGCAGTCTGGTGGTGCTTAAGCTGCAGCGAAACGCGATAACCGCATTGAAGCTCGACGATCTCAATGGTCTGTACAATCTGCGATCGTTAATGTTGAACGATAATGACATCAGTGAGATCGACGTAGGCGCCCTCGGTCAACTGCCTCTGCTCGCCGAGTTGAATCTATCCGATAATCCTATTAGAGCGTTATCAACTAATACTCTAAGTGGACCGACTAATCTGACCAAACTCCGAATGTCAGGTCTAACGTCGCTACAACGACATCAGGAAGAACAAAGCGATATGGCGTTCCCGGTGCCGACCCCGGAGCGTCTAGTAATGTTGGATGTATCGCGCAGTCCGATTCTCGCGGGTCAATTACTGGCGGATGATGCCGCGCTGTCCGCCTGCAAGAGTCTGATAGAGCTAAATCTCTCGGCCACTAATATTACCACCATCAGATCCGACGTCGCGTATATATTGCCGCAACTGCGCGTTCTTAGGCTCGGGAGGAACAATTGGAACTGCACGGAGGAACTCTACTGGTTGGGCGAGTGGATTAGGCAACATCGGGAATCGAATCAACAGTACCAGCCAGCACGCTGCTCCAGCCCGCGGAAATTGGCAGGATTATTTTTGCACCAATTGCCACCGCCGCCAAATTTCGTTTCCACAACCGCGGGAATCGTTACGACGGCAGCAAGCACCTCGGTTACCCTATCTGTCGTCGTCACGCTCGAACATACGTCGAATACTGATCAGCCAAACGTCACGGTGTCTTCCAATATCGAAGATGCGAATTCCGACGGTAACGTCACGGATCTTCCCACGCTATCTTCCATAAACGCGAAAACCGAATCGAAAATAGTACATGTAGCTGACTCGGATTTCGTCTCCAGTGCGGAAACCGGTATCGGCACAGCGACAGCGGTACCAAAAAAAGCATCGCGAGTCTACGAGGCACCGACGTCCTTCCGTAACGTAACGTCGTCAATCTCGATGCGAACGAGCATCGGGGAACTGGATCGAGAGGGCGATAAAACAAATCGTATCTCGGTGGATCAGAATTTAATCAAGCACGTCGTCGTTCCGACCTCTCGAGCAACGAGCGATCCCAAGTTATCCATTATGAGAATGGAAGATGTGGAGTCGCGTCCGCAAACTTCCGATAACCGAGCCGATAACGGTGAGGCGCGAAAAAAAGGAGGTGGGACGAGCAAACTTGCCGCGTCCGGGGGGTTGGCGAAAGCTTCTCGTCTACGAACGAGGGAAGGAAAACAATCGAGAAGCACTCGGGCAGCAACACGACGAAGGCAAACGCGATATTGGACGAGCGCGACTCGAAGACGATAGCGGAGGAGCTGAACGGTCGGGCGACCGATTCCGGTGCCAGGCTGTCCGAGGCTTTGTCCGCCGGTGCTCATCCCGGAATGTTGGTATTAGTCGGCGCGGCCCTCAGCGCTGTCGCGGCGCTGACTGTCGTACTCTCGCGAAGAGCAACGGTACAGCGAACGGACAGGTATCATCGTCACGAGAACATCGAGGTGCACACTCTCACGCCCACCGCGGAGCTTTGGTGACCAGAGTCGGAGTACGTCTGTCTGTTCGAGAGGGACAGGCGGCTGGACATCGAGAATCGCGACCGGGAAACGTCGACGCCGCCTCAACAATCGGCGAGCCCACGACTGATCGACGTGTGTTTGAGGAAGATCCTCAAGTAGCCCGCCCGGTATCGGTGATCGACAGTGTCCATCCTATTGTCTGCGACTAAGTGGACCTGTCGGAGAGAGGTAAACGAAGTGTTAATCGGAAAGTTGGAAGGATTCCTCCTGAACTGCGCGGAGACCATACGCACGGAGAAAGGCGACTGTAAATGTCGAACTGTTGGGAACTGAGATACTCCGAGCTAATCCGTGTCGCTTCGAAAACCGCTAATAACGTCGTGCATTAGAGACAATCTCTCGCAAAGAAGAAATTATTCGGACGTGACTTAAAACTTTAACTTAATCTAAAAACAATGGGATAAAGACGGACAGAGACGTCGTGAGACTATCATAACTACGAAAAATCTGCAGTGCAGCAATTAGAAACATTATGTTCACGTAAATTCTAACAAATTTCTAAGTCTAACATAAACAAGTGTTACTTATAAAATCAATCTCTGTAATCATGTATCTGACTTATCGAGTTCTTTGAAAATCACACGTGGCTCAGTATGTAAAGTCATCCAGATGTCGATATCGGTACGGTATCTACCCGGATGGAAAGAATACCCGAGGATGACACTGTTCAAACTCCATCAAGGGCGAAGATGCAGACGTCAAGTACTGTAACCAAGACGTTAAAAGCACGAGCGAGAGTCACCGCGTTATTTCGTATAAATTCTGACGTCTACAAACACAACCGGCGCTGCGCATGTCGTCAGTCGGGAAATACCGGATGCGTACTACGAACGAAAACTCGAGGAAAACTGCGAACGAAAAATTCGCCACTATTTCGACGCATGTATCGCGGTAGATCGAGATCGCGCAAAATCTCGATTTTCTTCGTAATAAATGGCAATTGTAGGAGGAGAGGTACGAATGAAAAATTAATACCGCGTTATTCGCGCGCGCGCGCGTGAGAGAGAGAGAGAGAGAGAGAGAGAGAGAGAGAGAGAGAAGAGAGAGAATTCTAAATCCGTCGAAATCCTCGGTGTTGGTGTCTTTGATGTTTTCTGATTCCGATATCGCGCATATGCAGTCACCGCAGACGTGTCATAATTGAGTGGCGATAATTACAAGCGAGCGGCGGGTTTAACGAATTAGCCGATTGGCAGATAAATTGGACATAGTGACAATAATAATGGTTACATGCCGCGTTTTAAGAGTTTGACTCTTTGCGGTACGCTCAATTCCTGAGAAGACTATATTGTGACTGAAATGAAGTGCGAGTGTAATAAAAGTAGGAAGAGAGCATAAGGCTAGCGAAAGGTAGAAAAAACGTGGACGTGGTAGAGAAACAGGTAGGGCAAAATGCAGAATGTAGGGGATGAAAAATTCGCAGTGGCAAATAGTATGCTTGAATGATAAAACCAGACAGGAAGCCAGAGAGAGAGTGCTAGACGGAAGAATTTTTATCGAACAGCGTGTGCGTGTGCGAGAGATCGAGAGAATCGGGTGTAAGAGAAAAAGAGGGAAGGGAGATTAATTCGAGAAATTGTTCTCGAATTGCAGTAAAACGGGATGTACAGAAATATTGCTTCCATATTTAATTCCATTAAGCTTGATGAACTGTCAAGCTTCTCAACAAATACAAAAATAAAAGAAAGAGTGCGTGCGAGAGAAAGAGAAAGAGAGAGAGAGAGAGAGAGAGAGAGAGAGAAGAGAGAGAGAC